TGTCGGTAAAGTGTCCTGTCGGTAAAGTGTCTTGTCGGTAAAGTGTCCTGTCGGTAAAGTGTCTTGTCGGTAAAGTGTCCTGTCGGTAAAGTGTCCTGTCGGTAAAGTGTCCTGTCGGTAAAGTGTCCTGTCGGTAAAGTGTCTTGTCGGTAAAGTGGGTGTCGGTAAAGTGTCCTGTCGGTAAAGTGGGTGTCGGTAAAGTGTCCGGGTCCGCTTGGTGATTTTATTTGGAAGCTCTTGCTTCAGAACCATCGTCCTAAAGTGTTAAAATACAAAACCATTAATCCTGTTGATTCGCAACTTATAGCTAAAAAAAAACGCGTCTGTATCATGTCTTTAAAACCAACCATGCCATACCAAACAACATTCACATTTGTCATCTTGAGACTTTTGGCAAATTTCCACAATGTAAATTAGATATAATAAAATTGGAGAATGTCAATGGTGTAAAAAAACCTGATTGTCCTGATTACATAAAGGAAAAATATTCTGATTTTGACATCTTTAAACCTGAAAAAATTTATGTAATGTTTGACTACAAGTGCTGCAAAGAACTACAAGGTCCTAATATTCGGTACATATCTCTGATTTAATTTTGTCAAAACTGCTGAGGAATATAAAAGCAATATTTCAAAGAACACAGAAGAAAAGTTTGATCTATTTTATTATGAATAGGGGGTATAACTTTAATTTTAGGTTTTATAATCGCTATAATTTATGTTGCTAAAAGGACTAAAAAGAAAAATAGATAAATAAATATGCAATAATAAGATTTATTGCATTTGTTTATTTCAAAGATTTTTGTTTTTTGTTTGGTAATAGCATACCTTCATTCTGCTTCCTTTTTCTAATGTTTATTATTTTTCTTTTTTCTTGGTAAATTTCATATGTAATCCTTTCATTCCTTAGATAAGCTTCCAGCGCCTGAATATCATTTATTTTGAAAATATAGGGAGCAATTTTTTCACCTTGTTCCTTTTTTAAAATACTTCTGATAGTACTATAATTCTTAGATTTGATAGTAGACCTGATATAAATGTGTTTCATATTAATTGTTTTTATATAGGAGTAATTAATTCTATACATCACTTAATATTAAGGAAAAAACAAAGATAACAAACAAATGGGAGATTTTAATAATCACATTACAAATTTTGATCTCTGAAATCATTGGTAATATCAATGTTCACTTTGTCTGAGTTTGTTGCAGTATGCCCATTTTCAAGTAAGATACTTTAAATGGGTAAAGAAAATCTTAAAAGGGTAAAGTTTTCAAAATTACTATTAGATTTTCATATCACTTCAATTATCCATGGCCTGTTGTGGCCATATGAGCTACATTAGATAAATTTTGATCAGTGGGATTCCTTACTTGATGAATATCATGATAACAATCCACCAACATTGTGATGGGATTTATACTCATACTTGTACATGTATTGTATGAGCTTAAAATTTTTGTACGAACATATCATGTGGCTTATGCCAATTTTTATTGATTGATCAAATGTAATATACATTAAATTCGTCAAAAAATTTTTTTCATAAATTAAAAAGGATTGTTCTTTAATAATTTCTAGTATCCATTTTCCACCAGAACTTGTTGCTGGATGATCAATACTTTGGACATCTAAGTTATAAATCTCATCATCTTCAATATTTATAAGTTCATTTAGAAACAAAATTATCTAAAAGGACCATAATTAGATGAAAAGAAATTAATTAATTCAATAAATTAAATAAATTGTTAATTGTTAATTAAATAAATTATTAATTAAAAAAAATTTTTTTTGAAATTTACTTTTCTTTTTACTGTATTATTATTATTATCATTATTATTGCTAAGAGCTAGTATTTTAATTTTTTCTTCTTGGATATACACAACATGAAAATTTTGACAACCACTAAAATGTTGCAGTATATGTTCAATTTTATCTACCATCGTTTTTAATTCATTACTTTTTTCACCAAGTTTAATTTGTTACCAGAACCACTTTTTGTTTCGTTTCAATGATGTAATCTTTCAAAGCTTTAACCATTAGAATAAAAGAATTGTGGGATTAACTACTGAAAATGTAATTATAATTATATATTTTGGTTCCAAATTTAATTTCCTTTTTATTAAATGTTTAAAAATTGAATAATAATTGTAAAAGTTTTAATAAAAATAAAATTTTACTTGAATTAAATTTTCAAAAAAAAAACTTAGTTTTACCCTTCCCCCCTATGAAAAATAGGTCTTTATATAATTTTTTATCACGTAAATAATCGTAAACACTTCGCGTAAATAATTGTAAACAAAAATAAACATTCGTTATTATATTATAAATTCGATCACGTAGATCCATTATTAAATATAGATTTATGTACTACCGTTTAAAATAAATGATTAAGAATATTATTATTATTCTTATCACCAAAATAACGTTAATTGATTAATAATCAAATTACTAAAATAATTTGGAGCAACCCGGGTTGATGCCAGAACATTATGCTCCATTTAACAACCCTAGGGTTAACAACTTAATAACAACAATAATATTATTATTATAGGACTTTACAAAGTAATATTTTATCACCGCGGAAGATCATTGTTCCTGATACATCATACGTACGTAAATATGTAAAATTTCCTCGTGCAGGTGTACGATCACAACAAAACTGTACGAACTCAATTGTACGAAGTACAGCCGCACATCGTACGTACAAAGATTCTTCTTGTACAGCGAAATTCCACAACACTGACTTAAATATTCTTTTCGTAGTCTTTTACAATTTTTGCTTTTTCTCTTGTTACACTTTTAAAAGTAGTTGTGAATCCCAAATTTGATAAAATATTTATAAAGCAATTTCCTTTTTTGTTGAGTTCACACATTTGTTTCTTGGACCAGTCATTTGATAACAAAGAACCATTAACTTTCCTTCTTAAACTATCTCTTGTATTTTTTAATAAAGAATTCATACTTTCATAAAACATATCAAAAACCCCTTTTAATTCAGTATCCTTTCCTTTAATCATTCAAACAAATCCATTGGGATCATTGATTGGGTCTTTTTGTTCATATTGCTGGTAATTATAAAGAACAATGGTTAGTTAATCTTTTAATTTTAAAAATTTGGTAAATTTAAAAATATCTAAAATAAAATATAAGATTAGTATTTTTTTTTTTCTTTATATTAATATATTATTATTAATTATAATCATTTACCTGTAATTTCTTTTGAAAAATGGTCTGATAACAAACAGATTATAATTCTCTTTTTAATTCTGATGTTTGTCCTATAATTCTTCCACAGAAGATGCAGTTCTTAGTAATATTTATGTTTCCTTTTGGATATTTTGGATGTGTTGTCCTGTCCCTCTGTCATATTTGATTTTTAAACTACAGCAATCAGAATAAATTAAAACACCAACCTCAAGTCCAAATACCCTCTTTTCTTTTTCCTTCTATTGTAACTGTTCACCTGCTTTTGCTTGTTCACAAACTATGCAAGTCCCATTTTATATAATTAATTTAAAAAATTTTGGCAGGCAGTGGGTCAGGCTGGATCAATGGAAAACAGGTTAAAATAAACGATACTGTAAAGTTTAATTAATGTACAGTACTTTAATTGTCAATTAGGCAAAACGATATAAATAATTGTGCAACAATTTATGTGATATTCAATTACTTATAAATTTATAAATCCCAATTAAATTTCCTACCAAATTTGGGAAAAATACCCTTGCACAACATTCAATTTGATTGGTTGGTGGATTTTGAAATAAGTATTTATTTGGGTCGTCATCTGTTTTAAAATTTGTCAATCATGTCATCTATTCCTTCAAATCAAACAATTTTTGAATGGTGTGCAGACCTGAAAAAGCTTGATTTATATGTAAGTCATAATAATAATATTATTATATCGCCTTCTATAGAATTAAAGTGTTATTTCTTCTTATTCCTTCTCTCATTTTTTTTTTTATAAATTAGCTTAACTCCATAAATCAATCACAAAGCAAAGAAGGTGTAATACTGTTAAAAACATTACTTAAAAAAGATGATTTTCCAAAAAATATTACATGTGAAAGCATTGATGATTGTTTTTTTTTTTCATTGTCTACACATCAATTCCAACTAGTTCAAGCTGCTTGCAAGGTGTGTATATTTCTCTATTATTTGTTATCCAAATAGATATAAGTAAATAAGTAGTAAATTATGAAAGATTGTTATACCAGGTGATACTAAAAACTCAATTGTCACTACAAATTATTGAATCTAACACACCAATAAATGTTCAACCAGTTCTTTTTCGGAGCTTATTGAGTTATGGGCGGTAGGTTAATATGTGTTTAATAATATTTATGATTAATATTATATGTGATATTATAAATGTGTTTTATATTTAGAGACTTCTTTGGGAATGATCCACAAAACAATCCAATTATTTTATATCATCGTTGGATAATAAGGTCAAGTTCAAATAATATTGAATTTGAAATAAATTTAGATCAAAATAAGAAATCAGCTGAACTCTTAAATGAATTATATGTAAAAATGACTGAGCAACTTATGGTATATTTCATCTTTTTTTGTTGATTATATACATTATCTTTTTGTTTATTATTCATTCCATTTATTAATTCATTTATTATTTATAAATTACATCAAGTCAAATTCAACAACAAATTCTGTTGATCGTTTATTTTGTAATCAATTAGCCTATGAATTAGGCGAATATTATTTTGCTGTTGATAAACATTTAGCAATAGATTTTTTATGTAGGTGTCTATTAGAAAGTGATGAATCAATGATAGACCATCAGTCTTTTTGGTAAATTTTTACTTTTTACAATCATTATAATAATATGAGAATTGCTAGGTAATATTTATATATAATGTTATCTATCTTTTTATTGTTTATTAGCACAATAAATCAGCAAAAGATTTTACCATTAGTTACATCACTTAAAGAAGTAAAAATAGAGTTCAATACATTAAATAAAATATTGTACTTTCAACAAAACCAAGATTACGAAGGGGTGTATATTTTATTGTTTAGATTACTATTAGATAAAAAGAAATTAGATACTCATTCACATGAAGAACTTTCTTATAGCCTTAGAAACAATTTAGTGAATGAGGCTATGAATTTACAACAGGAACATTCTGCAATTAAAATAGCAATCTGCAATGCTTTAGATTTAGATGGTAATATTTTAAATATTATATATAGGGTTTTTATGCACATTTGCTAAACAATTAATAATATAATAATATAGAAAAAATGTTGGATCAGATACCTTTATCATGTATTCAATATCTTGGCAACTATTTTAATGAGAAACTTTTAAAAGATATTATTGAAATATTTAAGAAATTATTTGGAAATTATCCTGGTGTTAATATGAGTGCAAATAAAAGAGAATTTATCATACAGCTTATTGGTAAAATTAATAATGAAGATGTTTGGAATTATATTTGTAAAACTGAAGGTATGATATTTATATATATATGTACTTGCACAACACATTTATACATATATGTGTGTCCCCATCTACATGTAATTTTAACATAATATTTCACTCTTGAATAATTATATTTAGGATTTGAATTTATACAATATTCAATCGAAAATAATTTAGAAGAATTTTCTTCATTATTTGTACCATATAGTCACAACATTGATTCTATGGAAATTATTGAGGTTATCTAGATAAAAAAATTGCATTCCTTATTTCATTTATTTATCAATCAATCAATTAACATGTTAATATTTATGACCATTTTTCTAATGTTTAAATAGGTACTTGATAATCAACAAAAAGATGATTGGACAGAAATTGATCATTTGATAAAAGATGATATTAATAATAACAATGAAAATATTAATAATCTAGACAATTTAGATACAATTAAAATATCTTGTAATAATATTTTAAATAGGATTGGTATTATGAACATACAAGTTCTTGTAAGTATTAAGATCATATAGCTCTCATAAATATTAATATATTTAATATCTTGTAATTAATACAATACTAGCATGATTTTTTTGTTGAAATTTAGGAAAGTATTGCATTAATTATGATTGAATCTCATTGTTGGGACTTTCTTGAAACATTTTTATCGAATCTGAATACAAGGAGGAAAAATATCAATAATGGTTAGCTTTTTTTTTATTTTTTTATAAATGAATGTTGTGGATTTTAAGAATATATTACAAAATTAAATTATTACTATATAATATAATTGATATATTTAATTAACAGGAAAATATGAACAAATATTCCTATTTTGTGATATTATGATTCCATGTGTTCAGATTTTGAAAATTTTTTCAAAATATACAAAAGGTATTTTAATTTAAAAAATAGATCTTTGGTAATAATAATAAAGATAATAATAATAATAATTACTTGATAAAATTATTATTTCAACATTATCATTTTATTAAAAATAATAATTTATAGATATAATATGTGTTGAAAATCATAATGTAAAACTTCAAAAGCATTTTGATATAATATTTGATATGAGTTTTCAAGAAATAAGAAATATTCGTGCAGCATTTTATAATTTTGTTAAAGCTTTAACATTCAGAGGAAATGATTATGTAAGTTTCTCTTTCTCTTCATGAGCACCAATCAAAATTTATTATATAACATAGCAACTTGTTAAAACTAATCATCATCATTATCACTTTTTTTGTAGAAATTGGTTCTTGATTTTTTTGTAAGAATAAAAAAAGTTGTATGGATTCATCAAATTTTCAGAAGTTTAATGGCAGGGTATTTATGTGAAACTCAAAGACAGAAAAAATATAAGGTAAAATAAAAATTATATTCAATAACTAAAAATTATCTTGATATCACACACATAATCTAAATAATTGATTATTAGAAATTAAACACCCAATTATATGGACCATTCACAATACTAATGATGTCAACTAGTTGTGCAACAGAAATTTGGCCTGATAGAGGGTACTATTCATAATAAGTTTTTATATTTGTTTCTTAATTATTCCTAATTATAATTTTTTTCTTAACATTTAATTTAAAAAATCCCCCAGATTACATCAATTGAGAAAGGTTCTTAATGAAAAAATCAAAAGAATAAGATATGATATAACTGAAATATTAATTGATTGGTGTAAGCTATCTGCAAAAAATGACAATCAACCAACATATCAAACGGATCTTATTTTATCAAATATTTATTATTTACAAGGCTCTCCATTGAAATCACTGAGGTAATCATTTATTATGATCAATGTCATAAATTTTTTTGCATTATAATTAATATCTTTTTTTTGTAATGTGATAATAAAATTAAGATTTAGTTTGGATGCAATTGCATCAATGACTTTTTTTTTTACACGATTGGAAAAAATTGAGGAATCTCTTGTTTCATTTGAACAAATAATAAGATGTTGTATCTCTAGAAAAGGTAATTCTTCTTCCACCGCCATTAATTGTAATATCAATACTTATGTTATATATTAATATTTATATTGTATGTTTATAGAGTTGGTTGCTGCAATAGTGTTTCATCAATTTAATCGTGATGAAATAACTTATATTGAAAGCAGCTATTTGCTTGACATTTCTTTAAGTAATGGGTCATTGAAAACTTCCCAGTTTGCAAATTATTTATGGGAAACCCAATTATTAAAATATATTTGCAGTAAGCAAATCAAATTTCTTTTGGAAGTGTCATTATTTCACATATGATGACAATAATAACAATAAGTTTATTTTTATATAATATATATACATATATAGTGTATTTCTATGAAATAGGTGATGCAACATCTTGTAATGAAGTAGTAAGTGTGCAAATATTTATTCATTTTAATTGATTAATGTTCAAAAGTAATAATCATATTTTTAAATAATAGGTTAAATGGTTGAAATCAATTCTTTTTGAGGAATCTCCTGAAATGTTTCCAGATAGTTTTGTACGAGAAGCCTACAAAAGATACTTATTTAGACCTAGAATAAAACTTATTGGATTGGACATTGATCCAAAACATTTAACTAAAAGAATTGAAAGTATAAAACAAGATTTTCTTGTTGTTTTAAATGATTGGATTAGCAAAGATTATGAGGTAAATTGATTTTTGGTAATAATCATAAAAAAAAATTTTTTAAACAATATTATTAATTAAATAATTATTTATATAATATAGTATAAAAACAATATAACCCATTACAACCACATTATAATAATCTTAATATATCAACTGTCATTCATAATCCTGCTTCTTTATTTCAAGAATTTTAAATAAAAAAGATTCACCAAAAAAAATGAAGTTATTATGGATTGAACACCTATCATTGTAAATACCAATATTAATACTATTACTGCTACTGTTGTTGCTACTTTTACTAGTAAAACAACTAATACTTGTAATACTTCTAGAGGGAAAAAACGAAAACATTAAAAATTTTTTAGTAGTAAAAAATTCTTGATGTCATAAAAAGCCCTACAACTCCTACAACTTTACTAAAAATTGTCCAATTTGATACTAATAAATTTTCAGTTTTACTTTTTTTACATTATTTTTTCAACTAAATCTGATAATCGGTTTTCGAGTAATTTCTTTTAAAATAAATAGTAGAGTTGAATTTTTTGCAACTATATTATAAGAGGGATACACGAATTATGTCAAATTAAGTAACGGAATAAAGTAGGGATGTGGCTTGTAATAATAACAATAATAATGAGTTTTTAATTATTATTACGAAATCATTGCCGAAGTTACGTGATTTACTCAATTTCTTTAAATAACTTTGGCAATCAAATTATGGAATAGAAGTTAAAAGCTCCAAGGTTTGCCATTGAAAAGCGGGATCTAATTCTTGATTTATTTCTAATTAGTTCAATTTGATCAATAATCAAGATATCAGCTTGTAATTAAAAGCAACAAGTATTTTAATGTATATTCAATAAAAGTACTAACCATCGAATGAGCTATTTTTCCATGAAAATTTTCTGTTACACACTGTCAATTTTAAATTTAACTAATAATCAGGGTTGGCATTGTCCAATGCGCCTCGTGGAAAACATGTTGGACATGTCTAATGCATATCCAATGTCTGTGTCAAACTGATAACTGTTGGACATTGGACAACAACCCTGCTAATAGTAATCTATTCTCATACTTAATAATTAATAATAGTAAAATTATCTTTATGTTGGATTTTGTCTTACTTTATTTTCATATTCAGCATTTGTTCTGTTTAAGTCAAAAAAAGAAAAAGAAAAAGGCTTAATATATATATATATATATGTATAAGAGATATTAGTAAATCAGGACTTTTAGCATCTAAAAGTTTTGTGTGTACCCGCCAATCAATATATACGAATGTTAAAATTATCATTCACAATATAAATATTTTACCTTCAGGAAAAAAATTATCAACTTGTAAAGCCCATTTTCACAAAGTATCATATCTATCAATTAATATAAAGATGATGATAACAAATCAATTACAATATCTACTATTACCATTACTATTTCAAACTCTAGCACCTTCTTTTGGGATTCATTGGCCTGACATAGAATCTCTTATCAAAAAACATGAATCTCTTGAATTTTTAGCAAAATGAAAATCAAAGACTAAACACAAAAAAAAATTCTTTGACATATAAACGGATGATGTTTCTACGTTCTTCGGGTTCTTCGGCAAGTCTATACAAACAAATTCCAGACATTTTTAAAGAACATATTAAAAAAAATATCGTAAACTAAGAAAAATTTTCGATTCAACCCGTGTTAAAAAAGAGTGACAAAAATATATTTTGAAAATAACACGTCAAGGATCTACAAAATTTAATTATTGTGTTGTTCTCTACGCCAATCGACGTACATCTTTAAGATTTTGTCTTCTGGCTCGATGGTTTTCCAGGCATTATCTTTCTCACCACAAAATAATTTCCAACTATCTTCGGCATATTGTCCCATACCGAATAATTCTTTTGGTGTAGAAAAATTAGGATTTAATAAATATGAACATGAAAATTTTATAACTCTTATAGCACGAATATTTCTATATTGAAAATATTTGATATTACGTGAGCATGATTCAATCATTAATAACAAATCTTATAATTCTTTAAAATTATTTAGACATACTGAAGTCCTAATGGTCTCAATAAATTTACGAGTTCATTTACATCAGCTTTAATTGCTTTATATGGTGTTGGATACTCTTCTAGAAATTTCCATAATAATGGTGTTGCTTGAGATCCTCTTGTTTTATTCAAAAACATTGTTGCGATTAAAAGCTATTAATGTTAGATATATTAATAATAATAATTTATTATTATTATTAGTATAATAATTAATATTATATCAAAGACCTTCCAAGGATCACAATAAAGTTGTTCTTGAACAAGATTATATGGTGAAGTCATCGGGATATACTTTGGCGTGAAATTTATGGGCTTTAAATTTGAAAATTCATCATAATCCATTATTAATTTCCAATTCTTTACAATTTTATTTAAATCATATGAAGGATTAAACGCTAATAACAGTTCTTTTTCTTGCTCCTCCTCATCTTCGCTATCAAAAAACCATTCTAATAATCGATGATTGTTATTGGTGTTGAAATTGGTAGATTTGAAAAATTCTGATATCATTCCGGTATGTTTTTTCCTTTTCTTGCCGTTAATTGATGATAATGATGGCGATGAATTTCTTATCACAAAAGTAGCTTTCTTCTTTTCCTCCTCTTCGTCATTCAATGCTGTGGGTTTCGTATATGAGAAATATGGACTAATTGTATCAGTTTGTTTGATTGTTTGTGTTTTCTTAGTTTTCATAATTACAAAAATTAAAATAGAAAAAATAGATCTGCAATTTTTATTATTTTTTAAACATTATAGATAGATAGATATTCTTATGTTTTGAATGTTTGTAAACATCACCAATATCTAATTAACAACAAGATTGATCTTTTGATCTATATAAATGAATCATCTAATCTCGCCTTCTCTTCTCGCTATTTTTTACATTATAGGGATGAAATCATGTAAAAACTTTTCTTTCGTCAAATTGTACACAAGTCATTATTGAATATATGCGCAGAATTTTTTCAGGAAAGTTTTATTATGATTTTATTCTATAAGAAAAAAAAGATCAAGAAGCAAGATAACAAATTAATGAATTAGAACATATTATTGTAAATTTTTAAAAATATAGTGTTTTAAGCAAAGCTAAAAGTTAAGAAAAATAAGAAAGTACTGTAGTTTGTTTAATTAAAATAAAATTATAAAAATTATCTTCCGGTTCTTTGAACTTTTGATTATTTGTTAAAAAATACAATTATCATTTTCGAAAGTTCTTTCTTTTAGAGACTGGTGAGCTGGATGAACCAGATGATCTGGGCATGACTTTATTCTTGTTTGAAGTGATAGTTGATTCATTTGCCACCGGATCCATTTTAATATGTCTAACCACGCGATCAATTCTTGACCAAGGACAATTCTGTAAAACTTCTAATTGTCTAGAATCTATATCCATATATGTACCCCAATGTAAAACATATTCACGTCTTTTTTTGCCACAAGGAACTTTCCACCAAGAATCATATTCACATAGTAAACATCTAATCGCTAATATACGTTTGACAACAACTGCTGGACAGCTGCCAGCATACAATGATGCATATTCAGAAAATTCTCTTTTTTTGGCTAATATTCTAACATTTGATTCAAATTTTGTTGCTTCTCTATCCGAATGAAACCCAGTGATAGCCAAAACAGGCGACCAATTTATACCACCACTTGCCAAACGGTTATGTTTACGTAGTCGGTCCTAACGATAACAATAAACATAACAATAAAAATAATAAAAATGGCGGTAATAATGTGGTGGTGGTGGAATTGTTATTTTGAATATTGATGTGATTGATGATGAAAATTTAATATTAGAAGGTATTTATTGATAATATTAATTAATTAATTATAAATAATATATATATTTAATCTCTAGTAATTTTATCAAAATAAGATTTATCATTCTATTTGTGATATCATTGTTATTATTACCTTAAGGTCATAAGTACTTCCAACATGTACTTTTGTTCTATTGGTATTGTAAAGAATATAAACACACCAATTTCGAGTTAAAGTTTCAACTCTAGAAGTATTACTCATTTTTTAGTACAAAAATTGGTTTTTTTTAACAGATGAATTTGAAAAGAGAGAGAGAGAAGAAAGAAGGTTAGAGAAAGTTTGGAGAGAGTTTGATATTTATAACAAGGTTACACTAAAACTACTATCAGCAAAACCAATAACAGCAGCTATTTATGTTTTTGAGCGAAACACCCTGACCTTCTTTAATTGGTAGCCAACTCAAGGAAAATTTTAAGGATGTTTCTGGCAGAATGAATTTAAGAATGACCCTGGGATAGCACAGTAGTGAACTGATGCGATTCGTGGATGATCAATTCGGATATCCACACAAAATCGATCATACTTAGATTGGTAGTTACTACTCGTAATACAAATTCTTATTCGTAATACAACTCGACCTTAATATTAAATATTAATTCATTTTATCCGATTATTCGTTATATTCGAATTATTCGTATATTCGTTTTATTCTTTATATTCGAATTATTCGTTTTATTCATTTTATTCGTTTTATTCGAATTACTCGTTTTATTCATTTATAAAATATAAAATGTTAATTCACAGCTTGATGCAACAAATTCTATATTATTATTGTTATTGTTAGAATTTTGAAAATTATAAATAAGGTCTTATTTCCTTCAATATTATACTTATAATCTATATTACTACTATTATGGTTGGTAGTACTATGATTTAAGAAAAGAAAAGAAAAAAAATGCCAATTACTTCTGTTACTATTATGTATTATCATACTAATATACAAGGACTACGAAGGAAAAATAGATTGATAAAGAAAAAAATATTTTAATTGGATTGGATTAGCAATGTGCATATCTTATTTTATTCGAATTAATTTTATTCGAATCATTCATTTTATTCGAATCATTCATTTTATTCGAATCATTAGTTTTATTGGATCATTCGTTTCTATTCGAATCATTCGAATCATTAATTTTATTCGAATTATACGTTTTATTTGAATCGTTGTTTTATTCAAATCGTTCGTTTTTATTCGAATCGTTCGTTTTTATTCGAATCACTCGTTTTTATTAGAATTATTCTTTTTATTCGAATTCATTCGTTTTACTCAAATTATTCATTTTATTCGAATCATTCATTTTATTCGAATCATTAGTTTTATTCGAATCATTAGTTTTATTCGAATAAACTTTCAATGTAATTTGAATGCTCAAATTCATAACGAATAAAAATAATATAATAATAATTCGAATAAACCTTGTTCTAATAGAAACCTTATTACTATTGGTGGATGGTTTTACAAAAAAATTCGTTTTGATCGTCATAAATTTTCCAAAAACAAAGGCCAAACTATCTATTTTGGCAACTATAATTGATAATCTTTTTTTACACCGCGTTTTTTGCACTTTGTCTTTGAAATGCACAAATTTATTGCTCGAACGCGTCACTTTTTTTTTTTTTTTTGAGTTTAAAAATGAAATGGTCAAAACCGCCAAGTGGACGGGCCTTGCGTGCTGAGAATGAAAATAGTAAATTGTGTTAAATTCAATTTGCAGAAAATTAACTAATCAAAAATTGTAAAAATCGTCCTTCTTTACTTTGCCTTTAAACTTTTGGAATTTTAGGTTATATAAAGTATTTTGGGCTTTTAAATAATACCTTTTAATTTTTCTACTGCTTTTTGTTTACATATTTTACTAATAAGCAGAGAAAATTGGCCCCGAAACGAAGGGTTCCGAGCTTTACACATTAAACTAAATTTATGGATTCATCAGGAAAATAAATCTCATGTAAACCTACGTAGGGTTTAAAACTGACCAGCATTATGCGAAAATGTTAACAGAATTACCAAAATATCGACATAATGCTGGCCAATTCTGAACCCTACGTAGGTTTATGTAAGATTTATTTTCCTGATGTTATTATAAAATTATTGCTATTGCTATAATATATATATATGATAATGTTTTATTATTATTATCTGTTCAATCCGACGGATGATCCGATCTAATAGATTTCATGACCAGATGGTGGATTAATAATAGTAAATGTAAATGGCAGATGAACGGATTAATCAATAATTATAATGAAATACCACATTATCATTACAAAGAATAATCACAAGAATAAGTGTTTTTCGAAAAATTTTTATTCAATTTATTTATATCCAAAGAATTGTTAATTAAATAAAAACAATGTTAAAAATAGTGCGTAAAATTATAGATACAACCAGACCTCGTTTCAATGAATCTTTAAAATTTTCGCTTCACATATAAAATTCGTTGAAACACGCGATTGGTACTTTGGTATAATGAATTTTAAAATACAATTTGCTTATGTATGAAACGAGGTTTGACTGTATACGGGAATGGATGTATATTTTAATTTAATATTAATATGTATCACCTGTTTTTTTTTGTTGCAGTAATAAGTAATTTATCAAGCATTAAAGAAAGAATACAAGTATATATATCAAATTTTGATTCAACGTCAGGTGATTCAACATACAATTTCCTAATAGGTTCATTTCAGGTTCATAAAAAATCTTTGATCATGACTTGCAGTGACGCATACCTTAAATTTATGCCAATTTGACCAGGATACACGGGATAATATGTTGAACTGAATGGCTGTTGATCTGTAGAATATTATCTCCAGCGATTTTCAAAACAATGAAATGTCCATCTAATGTTCCTCTTTCTTTGAGCCATTCCTTTTTCCATAATGAATAAACTTGAACACTCACCTACCATAAATATCCGACCACCTGATGATCATTTTAATAATTGGGAAACTTATACCTCACGCAGTTCAAAATTTTATTAACCAACCGGGACCGGTGCATTAAGTAAACATGTTTTCAAAGTTAATTTGCATATAAACCTCAAGTCTCGTCAAATTTGCATTAATAATGAATTTAGGATGAAAATTTTAAATTAGACAAAAAAATTTCGTGATTTTTATGAAAACTTTGAACTTAGTAAAAAAGTTGAATCGTGGATTATGTCATTAAGTAAGTCCGCTTAAAATAACTTGAATCGTATATGGTTAAAATTTGAGAAAATTTGATCAAGTATTGACAAAACGTAAAACCTTAATTTGCATTTTGTCAACTTTATTAAGTGTTTTATATAATAAAATTACGGGTTTTTTAAACCCCTTTCACGAACTAATTTATGCTGACACTGTACTGTAGATATATGTAATCCATTACGTTGAGCACGTTTTATTAATGAAATAATATACATCACAACAAAGAAATTTGACCTTTTATTACATTAAAGATTCCGATTGAAAATTTGCTTTTTTGGACTAATGTTTCCATTAATAACATACCAAACCTTTCGAAGTTTTTGTAATTTAGAGATTTTGATATCAAGTACAGGTCTACTTAGTAAAGTAAGAAAGGTTTTATTTAAGAAAAGGTTGCCTTTTTAGTAAGGACTCTTTTCATTTGACATTACACAACTCGGGTGGCCGGTAGGTGAGAGTATATGCAAATATCTAGACTGGGAAAATTTTTACCAAAAAAAGGATAATAATTTTAATTTTAATTGGCGTGTTGCAATTGCCTTTTTTTAATTGTAAAACAGGAAATGAATGTGAGCTATTATTGCATAATAAATAAGCGGATTATTTTTAAAACCAAAAATACCTTGGATTTTGTGGGACACAGATAATACTTGAATCAATTATTTTGAGACAAGGTATGGAGGTTCCACAAACCTCAAACTAAAAATACAAACATCCTTATATATAATCTCTAATATCAGTCCTCTTTATATTATAAAATACATTCAATTACATTGTTAATTGTTTTTCCAAAATTATATTTTGTCTTGTTCCAAATTCAGAGTGATTGACTTGAACATTGGGAAATTTTGACCTACTTTTTCTTATGAGATATGTAAATGATGACATTACATTAAAGAAGAAATGTGCTAGCCATCAAATCCAAATTTAATTCTTGGATAAAGGAAAATTTTTTTGTTGAGCAGTGGCATTGCCCATGTTATTATCACATTTAGATTTATATTTTATTGTTTCATATTTATATATGAGAATACTGCAACAAACTCAACAAGTGAACCCAAGAATTTCAGATTCAAGTTTAGCAAATTAGTCCACCATTGTACTACCTATATTATGTGATATTACATTTTATTTTCTTTTCCTGGTTTGTAACTTTCTAATTACTCAATAACTTCATTTCACATAGGATAATTGGAGTAGTTATGTAATCTAAAAGTATAAATTCCATCAGGAAAATAAATCATACATAAACCTATGTAGGGTTCAAAATTGACCAGCATTATGCGGAGGTGTTACCAGAATTGCCAATATTTCGGCATAATGCTGGCCAATTTTGAACCCTACATAGGTTTACATAAGATTTATTTTCCTGATGTCAATAAGGGTTTAATTTCCTCCCTTCTAGCTTGTTTTCACTTTGTTGATAGGATTTCATTTTAGATAGTGAGCTGTTTCTTGGAATTCTTCATTGTTAAAATAATTTCTGAATTCTTAGCAAGTTCCTCTCAAGTACCATTAGTGAGAACTAAAGTCTGCATTTTTTTAGTAGAAAGAGTGTGCATATGAATCAGAGGTTTGATTATTATTTATGTTTGTCCCAGTGTTGGAAATTTCCGGTTCTAGTGGGAAAATCACTGGGACTGGAACACTGGAACAGTTTGAAAATAAAGTTGGTGTCTGCAACTGTTTTCACATTTTCTGCAACTGCAGGTTTTAAAGCCCGAGTTGCAACCTTTTCTGGAACCTCTGCAACCCCTGAAACTGTCTGAAAACTGTCTGCAACTGTAATTATGATGATTTAGTATCAAAAATGGAACCACATAACTGCAAAATGGGATTTATTGTTTTTAAATAAAATCATTAATTAAAAAAATTTTTTTGATAAAAATAAATTTAGTTTTATAGTGATTGAAGTAGCTGACCAACCAGAAGTTGCAGACAGTTGCAGACAGTTGCAGCAATTGCAGACTTACAACAGTTGCAGCATTAGATGTCAATATTTTTTGGGTTGCAACCTAGGGTTGCAGAGCCATATTTATTTAGAGAACACATTTTTATTTTAGCATGATAAATGTTTGGAGCTTGGATATGACAATTATATACATGTAATCAGATAGAGCATAAACTTTTTCATTAGACTGGAGTAAATAGTGATCATCATATCAAAATCAACTTTAATTCAATCTCAACATTTAGGAACATTTTAATTATTGCAAATTCCTAAAATTCAAATTTTTGTTTGTGAGAATAAATCAAAAGGTTTTAACTATTTTTTCTCTTTTTGGTCCACTTTTTTTTTAATGCTATGGTAACATATGTTTTGCCTTCCAAGAACCACTAATAATAACTAGTTCACTGATTAAATTTTCTTTCAAACATCATACTCACTTTAAATTTGGCATAAAGATCATCCAATGAGGCAAAATTTTAAAAAATATCAAAACTTATGCATATTCATTAAAACCTAAGTCATATTTGATAATGCAAACTCTTCAGAAAAGGAAAGAAAAGGATTAATATTATGCCATTTGGGATTATTATAAAAGTTTGGCTGGTTAACTTTCTGGCTCTAAAGGCAAAGCATTTCAAAATTTCTAAAAATGGGATATCCTATCTGACAATCATTAATTAATTAATTGCACTCATACTTGTTATTATTATAAAGTCATTAAATTACATTAGTGATGACTAAATTTGATTCCTGAAACCTTTATGAGACATAATGTTCACTTTGTTGCATCATTTCTATAAGTATTCTAATTGTATATGAATAAAAATAATTAAGAAAAGAAAGATTGAACTTTGGATTAGTATTGATTTGCTATTGTTATCATGCACATTCATGCAGAAAAATAAATCTTTTTTCATATATATTACAAACTTCTTGTTGCAAACCTTTGGTTATCAAGGAGATATATATTCATCCCATTCTTTTATAACAATTTTTATCTTGATTTAAAATTTTTTTTCGAATTGTATAATTGGAGATCATCTGTCAATCTTTGAATGAAATCTTTCCCTTATTTAGAAACTAATCGAGGTTTTTTTTATCAATAAAAAAAAAAATGTCAGCATTTGTAAAAGACAATACGAGTAAAACTACAATTTATGTTGGTAGGTTAAAAAAAAAATAAAATTTAATAAGCGATAATATTCATTTACACTATTATTATACTTTTAAGGTGGTTTAGATGATCAAGTTAACGAGGAAATACTTCATGCAGCTTTTATACCATTTGGTGACATTGTAGAAATACAAATTCCTCCAGATCCAGCATCACGTAACTAACTAACTAACTAACTAAGTGCTTAATAACTTTTTTTTTATAAAAAAAAATCAAGTTCTTGATTATTATTTTAAAATCAATAATAATTTGATCAAAGTACATCATTAATTAACTTTTTTCTCCTCTTTCTTTGTTCTTCCTACCCCCCTCCAAAAAAAAAACATAATAGATAATCAACATCGTGGATTTGGATTTGTAGAATTTGAGGAAGCAGATGATGCACAAGCTGCCATTGATAATATGAACCTTTCGGAACTTTATGGTAAAGTGATTAAAGTTAATTTGGCTAGACCAATGAAAATCAGAGAAGGAAGTACATGAGCAGGTAATAAATAATTATTATTATACAAGCATTTGTTAAAATTTTGAAATTATATGCATAAATTCACATATATCATAAAATAGTTTGGTCTGAAGATGCATGGCTGCAAAGATATGCACTAAAATCAACTGATCCAAATGTACCATATGGATCAGATGAAGAAGATACTCATTCCAATGATGGTGATAATGGTTTAGGATCACAAGATCAGTTGAAAAGTGGCAAATCTAATATTTAGTATTGGGAAGTTGGAAACATGGAATTTATCCAACAAATCAAATATATAGATAGATGGTCAGTGAGTGACTTAGATTTTTTTGTTTGTTTGGTATTTCTAAACAAATAAATGTGTTGTTAAAAAATAATAATAAAAATTAGTAAATTTATTTGATTTTTTGTTCACTTATTCTTTAATTTTATTATTATTGCCTATATGTTCCTCAAAAATCTTTTCCAGATTATATTTTTTCAATTTGTTATAATCTTTAAGTACACTCATACCACATATATTCTATCATAAATAAATATATAAATTATAGTATATATTAATGACATATAATGCTATTATTCTAATCTGATTGATCAATCAATCAATTACCTTGAAAATCTCAACAATGATTGTCAATTCAGGATTATTGAGATTGACTGTATGATCTTCACCAACAATTTTAGCAATCATGTTAATCAACTCTTTTTTATCTACCTTATTATTATTTCGAGTATTAAGTACTATTGCATACTAACTTCACAATAAAATAAATATTTAATTTACTTGTACATACACACACATGCATACTACATAATTGAATGTGCATACCTGAAATTTTTGTGTATTATTATTAAAAATTGGATTTAATATTAATTGAGCCATGTTTTGTATATCATTGGTATTTGCATAACATGTTTGTGTTATTGGAATTAATCTTCTAGAGAATCTTTAAAATGAAGAGATAGTTATTAATAATTTTGTTTTCAAATAATAATAAATAATAAAATGTTTATTGCCTAGTTTTCTTTTCTCCCAAACTATTTAAATCATCCAAAATATTATAAACCAGATTTGTTGGATCAATTGATGGATTAGTTTTAATGAATACAACTATTTATAATTCAATAATAACAATGAATTATTTTTATCTAATAGTTATAATAATAGTAGTATTATTAAAGAATGTAATTAATACATACCACAATCAGTTCCAGTTTGAATTGAAGCAAAACTATTAGAAGAGTGTGGCTTTTTCATTTCTGAAAGTTCTTTTGCAATTACATCTTCAATGTCCAAATTATCATCATTATCATTACCAACACTCTTATTAGCAGAATCAGTAGTGTTTATAGCTTGCGATAGAAAAAATTTACCAGCATACTATTTAAAATATTTTTTTTGTTAAACTATTGGGAAACTCAAAAATAGTCTATTATGAGATAATAAATTGGTAGCATGAATACCTCATTGAACAAGTCATAACATTCTCTCACACACAGTGCTTCTTTATTTTTTACACAGGTTATAAAAACCCCAGACATATTTGGTTCAATTTTTGCAACATTTTTTTGTTGCTTGTAATAATAATTTTTTTCTGTTTATTATTATCATTATCATTATTGTTAGTAGTAAAATGAAATTACATAAATATAACATACATATTTTTTTTATTTGTTTCTTTTACAAACCTTTTTTGCTTTTGGAAGTATTTAGATAATAGCTTACTGGAGAATCTGACATTTTTTCTAGTTATTAGAAAATATAATGAATTAAATCATTATTTTAGAGAGATGTATTCGACCAATCAGAACACATCCGACAAATCCATACATAATAATAAATTTTTATAACCGTCAAATACCCACCACTACCTATTAAAAAAAAAGACATCATCACCTTATAATTCTCTTATTATTGATTCAAGAATTATCACGCGCGTCTTCAAATTTCCACGGTAGTGAATTTTAATTGTTATTTAGAACATCATATTTTCATTTGTACCAATATTCTTATCTCTAATGATACTGAGTCGTAACACATCGTTAATGGTTTATTGGTAGCAAAATTACTAGGCGTGCCAGCTTTATCAACATATTTATACATATATGACAAATCAAAGTATTATATATCATATAATTTGGGAATAAGACATGACAAGACGATTAATGGATACCAATGGACAAATTCGAGATTCAATAAATAGTAACGATAAAAAGAATAGTTTTTTTCATGTTATTATGTTTGGTTTATATAATAATAATATATCTTATAATTTATGAGAAACTTGAACAAATTAATTTTTTCTAAACAACAACAAGAATAATATTAGCAGTGATAGTAATAATATTAATAGTAATATGCTGTTTATTCAAGTATATAGCAGGATAAATATCAAATATTTTAGTGTGGTCAAAACAAGATGGCAAACCGCATTTTCTAATCAACAATCAACCCAAATCACACACATGGGCTGATTGCATTTACTAAAGGTTCAAATGGACGGTTGATACCAAATAGTTCTATTAACATGACAATATTTGAAATATCGAAACATAACAATAAAGACAATAATAAAGACAATGGAATTTAATTAGAATTGGATTTAATTAGAATTGGATTTAATTTAATTTAATTTAATTTAAAACGTAGTTTTTCGAAACTTCATTGTTAACACAATATATTATTTATAACATCATGTAAAAAATAGATAATAGATAATAATTACATTGTTGCCTACTTTCAAAAATATCACACAATTATTTTTGTGTAGAATTTGTGGCTTTTTTAGAAAGAAAAAGAAATTTTCAACAATAGCATTTAGACTGAATATAAAGTAAATATAATAGGATAGAAATTTAGGGTTAAAAAAAGCTTAAAATAGAAATTAGTTGAACATTATAAAAAAAAAAAAGTTTATTAAAAGAAAGATCAACAAATTGATCAACAAGTTGATTTAAAAAAGTTTAAAAAGAGAAGAAAAGAAATAGAAGATGATTACTATTTTATTTCTATTTTGTTACTATTTTGTAATTAATTAAATGTTTGCATCTAACCAAATATTAATAATATAAATAATTATAAAAATAATAATTTTAAAAATTTCAATCGTCAATACACTTGCTCCTTCGTTGGGACGTTTGATGGGATTTATTTGACGGCTATCGTCATCATTGTTTTTCTTCGTTTTCGTTACTTCTTTCTCCTTCTCACGTACGAAAAATTTTTTAAAAATTGAAATTAATTTATTTATAAATATTTTCTTTGTTTGCTCCACAAAAATATTCATTCATTCATTCATCATCATCACCATCAATCTAATCATCTTAATCAATCAATTCTTTCCATCATTTCATCCAATAAAATTAATATCATTATTATCAATAAACTTACTAGTAATTTCTATTATACGCACTAATTAAAATAAACTATATCATCAATCACCTATAATACCAGTAATAATATTGTTGTCATTCATTATCACCTAATACCTAAACTTATAAAAAAATAGAAATCCCCTCAATCAATTCCCCTTTTTTAAAGTTTGGCACAATAATACATAATTATTTATATTTATATTTATTTATATAATAAATTGGGTCAAATAACCTGACCGAGTTTGTAATAAAATAAGCCTCTATTTGCTACAAAACTCTTTTTTTTTTTTCCTTACTCTTCGTTTTCCTGACATTACTGTTGTTAGCTCATTCCAACAACAACAAATTAATACTGGTAATCTTCAACATTTGATTCTCTAAAATTGTCTTGAAAGTAACTAAAAGGTACTGTTAATATTATTATTATATTTGTTATATTACTATAATATTATTGTAATGTTGTTACTATGTAACAAACTTTAAAAGTTTTTGTGATCTATTTCATGCTTTAAACTTACAGTTCTTGTTTAACCATTTCAATTTTCCATTTTCCATTTTCCATTATTATTATTTGGGTCATTTTATTATTGTATTTTTTTTTTTTTAATATATATTTTTTTTCTCTGAATATTAAATTCCTAACGAGTAAACAACTTTTGTTTATTAATTCTTTAGTGTCAGCGAAGTGTCCTGATCCCTTCGCTACCTTCTCAACTTCTTTCTCTAATTTGGTAGCAACAAAATTTGACAATATCAACAAACATTGCATATATAACACTATTTAATAACATCTAACAACTTTATCACAAAATAAGAAAAAAAAGCCTTTTTTTTTGCATATAAAAAAGGAAATATTATTATATTGTATATAAGAATATTTATTTCTTTTCTCTTTTCAAAAATTACAACTCGCACTAGACCAAAAAAAAAAAAAGGAGATATAACCGTATATTTCTCATCAACTCATAATCCATTTCAAACATCAAATCATCTATCAACTCATACTCTCAACTCACTCAACTCAATCAACAAATCAATCAATTAATCACTCACTCAATCACTCACTCACTCAATCAATCACTCAATCATTTAATCATTCATTCAACCACTTCAATCATTCATTCAACCACTTCAATTAAATAAACAAATAAATCAACTCACTCAATCAATTCATCTACAATTTTCATTAAAAAAAACAATCATTCAATTAAATATCATATCATATCAATTCAATTTAAAAGGGTCCTTTTCTTTTTCGAGAAAAAAATCCATCATATAATATTCAATCATGATCAATGAAGAGATTTCGACAATATTTGTCGTTGGTTTTCCTGATGATATGCAAGAACGTGAATTTCAAAACATGTTCATCTTTTCTCCTGGTTTTGAGGCTGCCACTTTGAAAATTCCACAAAAAGATTCCTCTGATGACGATGCTTCTACAAATGGTAGTACTGGAAATGGTAGTTCAACGAATGCAAGAAAACAAATTGTATGCATATAATCAGTAAAACAACAATTATTTATTATTATTATTAAATACAATTATGATCATTTAAATATTAATTAATTAATATTAATTAAAAAATTTTTTCTTTCTCAATAAAAATAATCACGTGTAGATTGGCTTTGCTAAATTTCGTACAAGGCTTGAAGCTCTTGATGCCAGGGACAGACTAAGCGGTAGAAAAGTTGATGCAGAAAAAGGATCTGTCCTTAAAGCAGAAATGGCAAAAAAGAATTTGCATACTAAACGTGGCCTCTCAAACGAACAAAATAACAGTTCTGTTAATTCTGTTGCTTCTACTGTTTCTGCTGTTGGTCTACCTCTTCTACCTCCTTCAACAAAAAGATTTCCTACTCCTGGTAGTATAAACACAAATCCTTACGAAGCATTCAATGGCGTGCCTCCTTTTGCTCCTCCACCTCTTCCAAGTGATCTTTTATCTCCTCAAGATTATGGCTATGATTTCTATTCTGATGTCAGTGTATACACTCCTACTACTCCAACCACCCCTGTGTTTCCGGACCAAACACCCTTTTCATCTGCACGTGGATCTTTCGACGCTACAAATGGTGCCATCAACGGTCTTGTTCCTCCATCTCGTCCTCTTAGCAATGGCATCAGATACGGTACAACTAAAGGTTTCTTTGACAATGTCGATGATCTAAACTACCTTTCAAAATCAAATCCTGTAGAAATTATTTCTAAAACTGCAAAAAGTTCAACAAACGGTTTCAATTCTGCTTTACTTGTTAATGAAGATTTGGCTCAATCCATCTCTCATCTATCACTCAATCCATCTACATCCCAATCAATCATGTCTTCTTCACCTTCTCTTAGCTCATCAGGATTTAGACCACCCAATTCTGCAGATCAAAATCCACCTTGTAACACCCTTTACGTTGGAAATTTACCCATGAACACTTCTGAGGAGGAACTGAAACAAATGTTTTCGCGTTGTCCAGGCTACAAACGTATGTGTTTCCGTACAAAACAAAATGGGCCAATGTGTTTTGTTGAATTTGAAGATGTTAGTTTTGCAACCCAAGTCATGAAAGAACTTAATGGAAATCATCTCAGTAATTCAGTTAAAGGTGGAATCCGTTTGAGTTTTTCAAAAAATCCTCTAGGTGTTAGAAGCAACGCTAATGGCAGTTGTCACAGTGCCTTTAACGGCCTCAGTAGTTTCAATCCTGAAAGACGTGGTTCATTTCATAGTTTAACTGATCATCGAAGAGACTCCACCTTCAACTTGGAAAGAAGAGATAGCACTTACAGCTTAACTGATCATCGTAGAGATTCTACTTTCAGTTTAGACAGAAGGGATTCTACTTTTAGTTTGACTGGTTGTGGTATTGGTACTAATAATTCAGCAATTGGTTTGGTATCTGGTATAACTCCAACAATAGGCAGCAGTAGCAGTAGCAGCACTGGTGGTAGCAGTAGAGATTCTATTCAACCACAATCTTATAATCATATTGAAAGATTTAATTTCGAACGTAGAGATTCATCATCATCATTTTTCACATCACCTGAACGTAGAGATTCATTAAGAGAAGCATTATTTGCACCTGAGCGCAAAAATTCGTTCTCTTTTGATCCGCAACTTGCATAATTTGCATTAAAGGAAAAATATATATTATTGCATTCATATCACAGTACTTTTCACTTTTATATACATATAATTAAAAAAAATTTTACATCTTTACATATTATACATACATTTATCATCAATTACCAAATTATCAAATTTGTTAGTTTTTAAGAGAAAAGTTTTTTCTTTTAAATAATAAAAAAAGTCAAACAATACCAATTTCAATATAGGATAGGATCTCTAGGATCATATATATTATATACATTTT